ATTCAGTTTGTAACCTTACTAGTTTTCCCCGGCCTGTAGACGCTCGCGGATTAAGTATGGCGCCGTTGGAATAAGACCTTGAATATCTGCCGACCGCTGACTTAAAACTTGCAGGAGGCTCAGGCATGTCATAATCTGTATATTGAGAAGATTAAAATGTTTTTACGGGCCCGATGAACGAAGAAAAATAACCAAATAATACGTACAAAAGAATATTTAATTGCCAGCCATATATGTATAGGGTCTATACTGATAGCGAGTTCAACAAAACTAAGAACGATAAGCCGGTGAATTTCGGAATTTCAAAATATTAAAAATTCGTAATTTAGGGGGGAAAAGTATGATTTTACAAAAGGAATACATAGCTATGTTTCCAAGGTTGGCTTAAATTGTAAAGCGTCGAAAAAAGATGGATTCAATGGAAAACCGCATTTTCTCTAGCATTTAAAGAAACCGAAAGTGCCCGCGACATTTAACGGAAGTTACCCTATCAGCGCGTGCGCAGTTTACACTACCAGTGGCTTGATAAGATAAAAAGAAGCACACGAAAGCCACACGAGATGGTTTTTCCTTTCTTTTGCGTTTGTTTTTCTGTTTTCATTTTAGCTTGTTTTTGCTTGTACTTTGTTACTTTGAATTTTGTGAAACAAATAAAAATCACCTAAAATGTAATCGAATTTGAAAGTTTTTGAATTGTTGTTAAAAACTTTCCGCGCTCAGGCTGACGCAAGTGAATTTTCACCTCCTTAGCAACGCGTGCGAGCGCGCGCATGAATCGATTAATGGGCCCTTAAGACTGAAATAGTTGTCAAGGCTGTACTGTAGAGGCGCCCGGGTGCCTTACTTTTTCGTATAAGCTTAAGTGCTGGGCACCCAGGATTTCATGGTAGGAACCTTTGAACTCCTTGTAATTTTAATCTTTTAAGGTTGGCTACTTCAAATTTTTGATATTTCATCCCGCTAATTCTCCACTTTCAAAGCACCATCATATTAACTGAAAAGCAGCAAGTTCAGTTTAAATGACATTCAAATTTTCCGTCTGATAAACTATGAATTGTGTTTCCAAACAAGAAGACTTCGTTTTGCTTTTCAATAAGAAAGTAAACCATTCATAGAGGGCAGTTTCATGGTTTGGAGTATCTATTTAAACACCAGGATAGACAGCTCACCTTGCAGGGGGTGGGAACATATTCCGTGATACCCATAATTCTCTGGTATACTGTTATAACAACTTCCAGGTCAGTTTGTAAATAAATTATCGGACGAATGAATCATGGCGGAAGTTGCTGCAAATAATGTCTGGTTTCTGGCAGTTGCTCTTATTTTTCTTCCTCTTACAGGTAAGAATGGTGTTACTTTCTCTCTTGAGTTTGGATTGTAGTCTCAAGACTCGACCAGTCTATAGATTTCTATAGACTGAAGACAGATTCCTTTAAACTTTAAACTTAAGGAATAGTAAATATGCTGTCGGTAGTTGAAATATAACCTGTCTTAGTTAACTCGCAATCGAGTACATATCGCCAGATTATGTTTTCTTAGCTTCGGCACAACATTTAACAATTTTAGACTTTAAATTAAGATAAACACGGCCACGATTTTCTCGTCAAAGTTGCTACTACTGTTATTTTAAAATTCATCATCAAGGCATCAGCGCAGAAGCGTGTCTTACAGTATTTTGCATATATTACTTTTATCGATGCTTTCCGCTTTCGGTTGGTAGATCAATTCAAGTAGCACCACAAGGTGTTGATAAGAGAGACCCTGTGTTAATTTGTTCCTTGTTTGACTGTAAAGGTATTTTCTTTTCCGCTCTAAGAAGGCGTCCGTGCTTGAGCATTACGCACGGACAGTTGGCTATTAAAGTTTGAGTTCTTTGTGAATATAAACATTTCTTGTCACGATACATGTAATATTTGTCACGTTGTGCTTAATAAAGAAAATAATATCATTGTTTTATTTCTCTGAACATCCTGTTTCGGAAATTTCTTCTTTCAGTTGTTCTTACAGCACTTAAAACCCTTTCAGGAGTAGCGAGTAAATTAAAGTAATAAGTCTGATGGAGAGCATGGCAAGTATTCTACAAAGTTCTCAGAGCACAAAATATGGCTGTTTTGCTAGTTTTGTAATTATCAGTTCTCTTTTTCATTGTGTTCAATAATTCGTTGCTAGGCTTAATTATACACTAATTATAGAAGAATAACACGTTTTGTTTTCCGCAATGGCTGTACTCACAAGTACTATATTGTTCAGTATTGATTTCTGTATATTAGCAACTCCCTTATAAAGTAATGCGAACCGTTTATTCGTTTAAGGTTACTCCTTAAACCTTTGCGGGGCTACCTTTGCTAAATTTTCCCTTTTCCTTTTTTTTTTTTTTTTTTAACCAAATTAAAATTCATTGTTCAACGGTAACGTTTCAAAAAAAATAAAATGAAATATTAAAATGAAATATTAAAGCTAGCGCGAGGTATTGGGAAAAAGAGATTTTTAAAGAGTCACTGATACCCAAAGGCATGAACTTCTCAGCGACCTTTTGCTTATTCCAGGGTTCCTATATCAAATAACGAGGCTTCTTGAGTTGACATATTCCTCTGAAGAGGGTCGTCTCCGACGTGGTTTACGAACGGGAAAAATAGAGGATCACGGATCACGGATGTAAAAATTTTGTTTTTCCGAATCACGAGAAAGTAAGATACTTTTCCACCTGATCTTGCACTAGAGAGAGCGTTCGAAGAAAGCAAAATCGTGAAGGTTAAGCCAAGGCTCCATATTGCAAATTGCATACCTAAGTCACCCTCGATAGCCGACTATAACCATTCGGAGGAAACGCCTCTCAAAATCACGTAGAATAGAGTAGTAAAATCACGATCATCCGGTTAATAATTCAAGTTTTGCATGGTCATGCAAAACATCAAGAAGAACAATTCAAGTTTCACGGAAAATAAAATCAGCTAACCACGCATCACGAGAATACCCCTGAAAAGGCGTGACCATAGGCGGCCAAGACGTTGTTGGCGATTGCGTTAAAATTTTAGCCGTTTATAAGACAATGTATAAGAATAATTCGAAAATTGCTCTAATTGCTACGTGTAGAAAATAGTTTACATAAACGTGGCTTACCTTGTTTGCATCGCGTTTTTTTTGATGTCTCTGTGTTCCTGGAGGCGGTTTAGAGCCCTTTAGATATGATTGGTCAAATACTGTCACATGAACCGTATCTAACACCACCTGAGCTTACCCTAATCAAGAGAAAATGTTCTCTTGCCCTAAATAAAATATCATGTTGTTGTCTGTTGAAAATTATTCGATAGTTCAGAAAACTACGCGCATAAAAATTGGCCGCAGAATTTGTAAAGGATGCTCATACTAATATTCTGACGGTTTTCCCGGAGAATAGTCGAGTGTGTCATTTGTGACCCTAGCTTATAAAATGTAGTATAGAAAACCGAGGCGACAAAATAAATTTCTGAATAATATTTAAATTTTTTAGCGACTTCGGTAACATGGACAGCCCCTCCTCCTCAGTGGACTCAGACGAACCCAAATGACATCAGAACTGCTGATAAGCCGGTGGTAAATGGAAGTATGCAGGTGCCTCTGGGGTGGAGTTACATTCTGTTATCTGGTTCACTGGTATCAACCACATTTTCTGTAAGATTGAACGATGGCAGCTTCGATGATATTGGAACGCATACTGGTAATACTAATATAATATTTAACAGAAATGATTACAGAACGCGTTTTGGTATCAATGGAAATGAAGTGGCCACCTTGATAATAAACGAAGTCACTGAAAGAGAAGAAGCAGTTTACCAATGCAAGCTTACAACAGATTCAAACATCTGGAGTTACAGAATACGAGTCATTGTAACAGGTGAGAACTGTTATGAATTGTAAAACCACACGGCACACCCATATGATACCGTTTACAGGTCATTACACATGTTACAGGTGAGAATCAGCTAGCAAAATAAGCATAATGTACCACATGTGTCGGTGGCTAGTGGTGGATATTTACCCCGCTGTCTTGCAGCTCGGTAAATATCCACCACTAGCCATCTCCACTGTGGGGAATAATTGTTAAATAGCCGCATCACTCTCCTACTGTGGGCCATCAGTTGTTTATAATCCCTCGAGTACTCTTGAAATACTGCATAGTTTCGGAGAGGGGTTCAGAATGAAATAGGAGTCTCTAAATAAGCCCATCTTATAACCATTATTCATCTGCCCTCGCCCAGTCACCGAAGACTATCTTTGAGTTACTTTCTGGTTCCCTGAAGGGTTCTTCAAATTTGCATCTTAGTATATGAAGAATTGAAAGGCGCGGTGACCTCATGGTTAGTGCGCTCGACTTGGGATCGAGCGGTCCGGGTTCGAGCCCTGGCCTGGGACATTGTGTTGTGTTCGTGGGCAAGATACTTTACTCTCACAGTGCCTCTCTCCACCCAGGTTTGTAAATGGGTCCCGGCGAACGTAATGCTGGGGATAATTAACTCTATCATCCCATCCAGTGGGGAGTAGAAATACTCCTGGTCGCTTCATCCTGCAGAAACCGGGATACGCTCCGGCATGATGGGCCAGTTGGCTTGTATGCAGACTTCACCCTACCTACCTACCTACCTACCATACGAAGAATTCCTTGAATTTATGCTTATTTTCCTGAAGAATTCCGATATTCCTTAACAGCTAGGAAGAAGTTTTTTTTTTTTTTATGGAGTAGCCATTGGCACGCATAATTTCAATAAGCAGGTAGTCATTAGGCCACTAACTGTTCTATCTCAGTCTCTATAACGTCCTCCTCAGCCATTCTCTTGAACTCTTTGGATTTATATATTTATTGAAGCCAGGACGTTAGCAACCTTTTCCCTGGGTATATGAAGTTTATATTTTAATTTATCAATTGTAACAATGCTCTGTACCTTTGAAGCTGCCTAAATATTTGCTCTGCATTAGTTCCCTGAGTTCTGGATTCTCTCCCTACTAACTATTCTCCACGTCTGTCAAGACCATGATTTTTAAGCTGTCATTTCAGAATTTAGTTTTTTTTTTTCTGGTCAATTGTTTAAGAAGTCAAAAATGACTTTGTTTTCTAATCTTAGATGAAAATATGATGCAAATATTCATACGATTAATCAACAGCATCGGACTGACCGCGCGGGAGGCGGTGGTTTGTGTAATCACGACCATGATTACTGACAGAATTGGACAACACGGAGTCCTGTCAACTATTAAGAAAAAGCTGAGAGAAAGACGCAAAATGTTGCCTGTTAAAAGGCTATCTTGTCGAGGATGGGGCGAAGCTCCCACCTCATTCCCCCATCTGTCACTTTACTCTCAGCCAGTCCCTTTCTCGGCACTTCTAAGCCGTGGTCAGACCCTTCCAGCCGGAGCCTGTTCACAGGCTACGCAAAATGTTTTTTTTTTTTTTTCCAATTAATATTATTTAATTAAATACCCCTAATTTTGAACCTCTGACTAGACAGAAAAGGGGCCGCATTTTAAAACCTGTTCTAAAGATTAAAAGTTCACTTTGAAAAGTCAATGCTTCGAGGCTTTGTTGCCAATTCAATCAATTGAGTTTTGCCTAGAAATAAACTCAAGGAGAGGGGTTTTTGAGCTGTCAAAGACTAATCGCTTTAATTTGCTCATGGGGTAGGCAGTAAATTAACACGATTATGTTGGTGTTTTCGTGACAGAAAAAGTTGTAAGTTTCGTTAGATTTTAAAACATTTCAATGATAAACGAACTATTTCGTTTACTAATTTGGCCGTTTGTTCATTAACGTCAACGTTTTGTTCCGTAAACCGTTGCTAGAAAGAAAGAGGTCAGTGATATGTTCCACTTTAAAAAAGCTTCACGAGACTTGATCCAGTATCAAAACAATCCTGTTAGTAATATATCAAACACGAAATACCGAGTTTGACCAAATTTCTAATCACCGAGAAGAGAATTAAGAATAAGGCGCGTAGCGGGGTATTGTTGGCGAACTTTGAGGTGTTTGGTAATGTGATCAAACACTGTCTTGAGCATTTGATATATCTCACCCACGTGTAGATTTAAATTTTTAGGTAGCAATGATCGCCACAACAAAAATTGCCGCTCGAAACGTAAGTTCCTGGCCAGGGACCTGTCGTGATTTATCCACT